GCAGTTCACTGTCTTGTTCGCAGGTGTTCAGCAGAATATTGCAGAACCCAAATGTGCCTCTCAGTGGTCAATTCCCAAATACAAACAGAATGCAAGAAAAGTTGCTGCTGAAGTATAGATGTGGTTCAAGTTTGAAGTGCAGTGGACTCTGGGGATAGATAGTTAAGGATAAAGAGCTTCTGCCCAAATCCCCTCAAAGGTATGACACCTACTTCTCCCCTTTGCAGCCGCTTTTCAGTGGCCTTTCCCAGGAAGGTGCTGGTCTGGGCAGCAGTGGTGTGTGCCCTGACAACCTCACAACTTCCTAACAGAGGGATTTTGCATGAGTTTCTTGTTGTAGAGGGCAACTTTGTGGATCTTCATAGTTGAACATACTTCAGAGTGGTTCTTCTATCACCCACTTTTCAGAAGACACTGAGTCCCTCAGGAATCACCATATATTATAGATGATGATTGTTTTTTTTTCTGTTTTGCCCTTGCCCTCAAATAATTCATGTGGCTATGGGAAATAAAACGCTAAATGCTCTCCCTTGCGATACATTAAGATCTGTTAAGGCTACCTAGCAGCAAAACTCTTGTTACACGGACTTTTTTTCAAGGCATGAAAGAAGACAGCAAACAGTTTTTGTGTTATCATGAAAGAGGAGAATAACTGGTTAATGGCAGTATGATACGCTAGAGTTTCAGGAGAATATCTAAATCCAGAGATGATGCTCCTTTCACCTATATAGTTTCACAGATAGCTCCAAACATCCCAGTGTCTTAACCAACGTCCTTGAAGAGGGAAGAGGGCTTGCTTTCCCCTGGAAGTTTCTGGATGCTGATTGTGCTCCTCTTGGAAAAGCTCCAGAAGGCCCCTTCCATCTCAAACATCAATTGGCTGCAGCTGCCGCAATGAATTGCAGCTCTTGTAACTTGAAGTTGGTTCATCTGGGAGATTCCTTGCTGCTTTTCATGAAATTAGTCATGTTGGAGGACGCACTGTGGAGGTAAGGGGGAAGGAGTCTTCATTATAGAACACAGTTGTACCACACACAACATAAATCTGTTAGGTGTTTGGTATATTTGCTTCCACTTTGGTGGACTTCTGTGTTAAATGCCTGTGGATGTGAGGTATATAAAGCAAATATTCAGTCATTAAAGTTTTGTTTTCTAAGTGCAGCTGAATATTGAAAATGATATGCAAATATGCATTGTAAAGCAATGTTTTGTCTTTGCTTGTTAGGTTTAATCTGTTCTCACTTTGTGCTCCTTCAGAAGAAGAGGAGGCGAAGATGGTCCATGCTGAAGATGATAAAAAGTGGCTTAGTTGTGGAAGATAGTCTTTTTGCGTGTGTGTCTAGACTGATTTCTGCTGTCTGCACTTGCTTTTTTGACCTGCAAGCACAATATCCTGTTGAAAATGCTTAATATGCACAGCAGCATACAAGCTTTTTAGGCAGAGGTGCTGTGGTGAATAATATTCTGTATATGCCTGGCACCAGTGCTGCTGAATTGATAAAACAAAGATTGCAGGCCATATGGAGGTAGACTTAAACACAGGCCTTCAATCTTTACATTCGCACCAGTTGCTTTTCTTTTTAATGAATAATGTGCTACCACAGCTGAATGATAATTCTTCTGAACCAGTTGTTAGGATATTACTACTTGGGATAATTCAAATAGGCTTGTTCCTCGATGAGGAGTTGAAGGTGCTGGCTTTTTTTTTTTCCTTTTCACTTTTCCCTTTCCCTTTTTCTCTCTTTTTCTCTTGGCTGTTTTTAAAACAAATTCTGGCAAATTCCAGTTTCTACTGAAAACCATTTCTGTGAGCTCTCTGGGGAATTAAAGTAGCAGGACTGCAAATGGAAATCATGAATTGTAAAATTCTGTTTTGCTCTGAAACAATCTGACAGATTTTTGTATCTCCCATCTGCCCCATAAAAACACCTGAGGTTCCTACAATATTACCTTATCATATAGTACGGTAGTCAGTATAGTATAATATAAATGAGAGCTTCTAATTCAGATAGTTTAAAAAAAAAAAGAAAAAAGGAGAGGAGATGAAACTACCTCTTTTGTTAAAATCAGCTTAGGATAGAGAGAAAAGCATGATATTAAATGAACTTAAGTTGTCAACCGAAACGTCATACAAAAAAGTGAGCTAGTGTTAGAATGAGAATTGACCTCCAAACACAGTATTTAGGACCGAATGAAATCATGCAGCTGTAACTCTGACAGTATATGAGTAAGAATATAAAGCGTTAGAAGTTAGTAGGCCTGATATATAAGGGCACACAAAGCTCAACGCTAGTGAAGAAAGGGCTGCCACAAAAACTGGAGTGAGGATATTTCTTGGATGTCAGTGCATAAATTGGCAAATTGTCAAATCCCTGGACAGCAGAAAACAAATGAGTAAAACCTAAAGTTTACAGCATTGGGTTTTCTTGGTGCCGAAAAAAATGTTACAATATATAACAAACCACCAAGGGAAGACAGATTCACAGAGGAACTCAAAGCTTCACATGAGGATTTTTTTATTAAACTAACTAATTAATAAAATTAGTTAAATTAATAATTAATAAATTCCCAAATGTAGTTCTTCATGTTTACTAAAAACTAGGCTTCAAACGATCCATTACAGCAGAGTTTTATTGACAAAGACAAATTAACACATGTGATGGTAGGATTTACTCAGTGAACCCCACTAAATGTTACCCCCAACTATGTTGTCTATTTGCATGACCTTGGTCACACGGTTTCTCACTGCTGGGTCTTTGTCCGTAGGAAAGGATACTGGGCTGGTAAGTGTTTTCACAAGGCCAATCTACTTTCCAAAAAATCACCTCTGTTTGGAGCACTCATCTCAGTTCAGATACAACTAGGTGATGATGGATTAGTTGGAAGCAGTGAAGGCAGCTCTCCTTCCTTGCTCCACATTTGCTTAACAAGAGTCATTACTAGCATGTCAGTGCAAAACATAAGGCAAGAAAAGCTGAATTATCAGGAGTTGTTCTCAGTATACAAAATTACTATTATGTTTAGTCTTCAAATATAATATGAAGACGTGCTTATGAAGTATTAGAGAACAAAATACTGCAGATCATATCAGCAGCATCCATCAGAGAAAGCTGTTGATCAAATGATGATGAATGCAGTTTTTATACGGTTACACAAGTCACCAGTCATTTGTTTTTAATGACAATAATGTGGTGTAGTAAACTTAATTGACTGATATTGAAGTCTAGAAATCTTCTTATGCCTTCCGTTTTCTCCCTCTCTTAGGGCTTATGCTTCTACTTCAAGGTTCAAGTGTTTTGATGTTTTTTGTTGTTGTTGATTTCTTTCTTTATGTTCTGAGAAGGATAATTCTTCATCGTAACTTGGACAAGATTTTTTCAAATAAATCATCCTTTTGCAGTATAGTTACATGATTCTTCTGAAGTTTCCTCTCTCGCACTAATTTAGCTTTATCATTACTGACCCGCCCTGGTTACAACTGAATATGCCAACTGTGGATTTAGTTACAAGCCAACATTCAAGTTTCTTGAGCCAGCTACAGCCGCAGTTGGCTTCTGCCTTAAGCCAGTTTGCATTTATGCCACCAGCTGGCAACATGTGAGCTTGGAGAGCTTCAAAATCCATTGGTGTATTTTTGCTGCTCACTTGGACATGTCTTTTCTATCCAGATTATCCAGCTGCAAGGAGAAGCATCGGCAGGTAGCAACAAGGAGCCACATGACAGCAATCTCCAGTTTTACTTTGGCGGCAAAGAAATGAAAAAGTGGCCACTGTACCTTTACAGAGGCTCCCAAACGAATGAGTGTAGACTGACGAAAACAAACTGAAGCTGAAAAATGAGCATTGGAGACAAGATGTGGCTGAGCATGTCCTGGCAAGCAGCAGGTTGGGGCTGCTCTGCCAAGGGAGGAGCTGGGCTTTGGCCCCATGGGAATAAGTGGCAGGGACTACCACAGAGCCCCAGACCTGCATGAGCTGCTCCTGTTCCTTACCAAGTAGAGGATCTCTTGCACAGAGATGTTGCCTTAATTATTACCATGCTACTGATAGGAGAGGAATATGTGGTTTTAGAGGGGGTCCTTCCTCCACTCCTTTTTTTCTTCACTCTCTTAAGAGGTGAATAATTTTGACTGGTTCTGCACATACTGTTTCATGCATGCAGTAATGTTACAAACAAACAAACAAAAACCCTTCCTATCCACATAAAAAGAAAACGAAGGAATTCTGAGTAATTCAATACAATGTTTCTAACTAAAGACGAACAAGGTCTTCTTTATCTGAGTGAAATATATGTACATATAAAAAAAAACCCTTAAATGTTCCCATTTATTCAGTACATCAGGGCAGACTGTTCTGCCTTACAGATTAGGTCTGCTTTTCATGGCCTTCAGCTTTGCATTTAAAGGAAAAAAAGATCTGAAGAATACACAGACCAGTTTTAGGAAGTGTTTGACTGTAGCCACTATGTGCTACAATTGCGGGACTGCTCTAAGATACATCCTCGTTTTACTTAGAGAGGAATATTAACAAAACAAACAAGGTAATGGGGTCTACTACTGAAAAGAACATTTTTGGTCAAGTATCATTAAGATAATTTTGCTTTCCAATCAGTATAACCTCTCTCCCTAGCTAGAATTCTTGGATGGTAAATAAAAGTGATATTAAGCAAGTTGCTGAAGATAAAAATACTGGCAGCAAACCAGGGGACATATGCAATTTCTCTTGCATCATACAGTTTCTTAAAGCTTCTTAAATCCTTAAGATTTTCCTCAAGCTTAAGTTGACCCTTGTATAATGTATATTTTTATAAAATTCTAAGTGCATAATTTAACATAATTTGTTTTGTACTTCTTCCAACCAAATTCTACATAAAACAGCTGTGTATGATAAAGTTACCTTTGGCCTTCCACAGGCATCTTTTCTTTTTCCCTTTTTTTTTTTCTGTTAACAAACTTGTATATTCCTGGTTTTACCTACATTGTTGCTTTGTTTTTTATCAGGTGAAAGAAAAACAACAGTATCTTGCACAAAGATTATGAACAAGAATATCAGTCTTGTCGACAACAAGAAGTGCAAATATTTAACTAAACCTGAACCACAGATCCGAAAGTGCAACGAACAGCCATGCCAGACCAGGTAATAGTTATTTGATTAAATTAGACTAAATCTAGATGTAAAAATCTTGGGAGAGGTGACTGCCTGTGGCAATGAATGTGCAATAAATATATGCATCAAAAAGCAATAATGAGAAATTTAGGGAACACTGAAGTGCTGGCAGCTGTTTCTTCTCAGTTTTGATGAAACAAAAGAGAGAAAGCCTTAAGCATATGCCTAAATCAATTCTTATTCAATAAAGTAGCCCATTAATTTCCTTAGTAAGAGTTCCCACAGGCTGATGTGTATTATGAAATTGAAATTTAAATGCTGTTTATATAGGGATGGATTTAATCCCATGCTTCATGATATGAACAAAATTGTGTTCTTGCAGTTTTTTACACTCCGCAATGCTATCCTCTTTTAAAACCCCAGTTTACGCTCTAGATGTACTGATCAGTGAAAGAAGCAGTTGCTTATTTTTAATACATTGATTTAGCTTGAAATATGGACTCTTCCCACTGCCTCCCACCCCTATGTCGGGGGATCAATGTGTGATATGCAGAATTGAACTGGTGGTGGAGTGGTAGAAGAAGCAGAGGAAGCATTTTCCCGGAATTTCACCCCAGGAGACAGCTGTAGCGGACAGCTTGGGCTCAGTAGAGACCACCCTGCTTGGTGCCTGTGGCCTGTCGCCCTTGCCAGGACCTGCCAGGCATCTTCTGAGGGGCAGTGTAACACTGTGCTGCAAGGCCCATTTCACAATTTACAATCCTTTTCTTTCTGAATTGCAGCTAAGAATTATGCCTAGGGAAGTCCTCAAGTATGATGTGGAGCAGGGGGACAGAGGGCAAGAGCTAATTTCCTTAGGAGCTAACACAGAGCTACATCTATCACTGTCATCTGGAGGAGAAATAAATGGTATTTTTAAAGAAAACAATGTAAAGTAAATAAAATGCAAATGCTTTTGAAGAATTATATATAAAATGAACCAGATGACATAGTTTTGTTGGAAAGAATAAAGTACTGAAATCCATAAAATATCAATGGTGAATACATTTTAGGTTAGATGGAACTGCTGACTTCCACAGATTGGAGCATTATACTTTAAAGGAATTATTTATGCTTCACCATATATGTGCAGGTCCAGATTATTATTTAATGGATAGGAATGCAATAGTGTGATATTTTTCTACAGCATTGTCAACTATCTATTTTTAATATGCTCAATGTTTTCAAGAGATCAAGAGATGCTATGCTGAGAAATGCAGAAAGATATCATGCTTCTAAATATCTAGTTTTCAATATACTGTTAATGATTATTACAAAGCATTTATTGTTACCTTTCAATACAAATGTACCCAAAACATAACTAGTGTTATTGGCTCTTGAAGACATGTTTTAAACTATATTGTTAGTTTAACCTGACAAGCTGTGATTTGTAAATTGAGTCTTTGAGCTAATAATAAAAAATCTTAGTTAAACATTATATTTTCTCACAATGAATGCCGGACAGAAGGTTGGAACTGGTATGTTAAATTTCAGGGTCTGAAAGACTCTCCCTTGCAAATCCAGTCTCTTGGGATGCACTTGTGTTCTGCGTCAATGGCAGAACTTTCTGTTTTTTTTTAAGGGCATATGGTTATAGTCTGGAACTATTGAACATTTGGGAAAAGTTATGCTCTAGAACTATTTCTCTTCAAACATGTTGGCTCTGCCAAGCTTCCTCAGCTTTCCTTGTTTTTGTGATTTAAACCATGCACACTGAGTTAGGCCTGACCCTAAAGAGCATGAAGTCTGACCTTTTATACTTCCCACCAGAGCAGTGAGCTTTTGGCACAGCAGCGGTTCTGTCTTTTAGTTGTTTTCAAAGAATGCTGGACTTAAAGTTCGTGGCATGCACTGGCATGTAGATATTCATATAGCTACCCAGAGAATAATAGACTATCCAGTCACCGGTCCCCTTAAAATAGTATGGTTGCATTTTGGAGTTTTCCTACTAGGAATTACAATGACAGAGAGGGGAATGGATTAAAAAATATGAAATATTCTGAAAATATAGGAAGGAGGAGTGGGTATGAGGAGTGAAAATACTGAGGTGCACATTAATATGTTATTTAAATGTAAGACCTGTTCGAATTAGTCCATTATTCCTTAAAAAGGAGACCAGAAATATGCAAATAGATTTTAGGCAGCAAAGCTGTTGGTAAGCAAGAAACAAGATAAACTAAAGGGGACCTTCCCCTGCCTCATCCCTAGTTACTATGTCGCCTATGTGTTTTTGTAGATGGATGATGACAGAATGGACTCCATGTTCGAGGACATGTGGCAAAGGGACTCAGAACAGACAAGTCGCCTGCACACAGCAGCTCAGGAATGGCACCTTGATCAGAGCTCGCGAGAGGGACTGCCCGGGGCCCAAGCCCGCCTCCGCACAGCGCTGCGAAGGCCAGGACTGCATGACCGTGTGGGAAGCGGGAGTCTGGTCGGAGGTACCTGGCTAAGATATACAGATATTCCATAGATATTGTCTGTGCCTTAACGTTTTCTGGAAATGAGTTTGTTTGTCTCAATGGCAAACGGCACAGCCCAGCCTAAAGATTTTCTGGCTCCTCATGCAGTGATACGGCAGAGGGGTCAGGGATTCAGAAACCCAGCTGTGCAAAATTTCTACATTTTACCTCACTAATGTTCTGAAGCAGTTTCTTTTGGCTAATTTTTAAGACAGTATAGTCAAATATACTCCAACTGAAGTAATGGGTATCTACAAGGTATATAGAATTAATTAAAACCATCACTTCTCAGTTATCAGGATGTGAGATCATCTGGGGAGCGTCTCTGAAACGGTTTTGTGCCAATGGATGTTAATCAGGCAAATGTTTGCTGCCATCCTGCTCCACAGGAACCATGGGAGAAGCTGCTTGCAAAAAGCACATTTCCTTTCCTTTTGCTCTCTTCTTGCTCACTGCTTTTTCCAAGAGCAGCACACACAGTGGGCAAAAGTGCTTATAAAAAACAACTTCACATCCACTGCATCTGGAAGCATTGGGAAGCATTGGTGCAGGTTCTAATTGATATTTGACCTTTTTTTTTTTTTGAAGATATTTTGCTGACTATGTCAATGTGTTTTTCTTGGACTTCTGGAAGGCTTGGTAGTGCTTGGCTGCAGAGGCAGAAGGAGTTATTATCATTGCCCTGTGAACAAACTGTAATGGTTATTGGGGCTTCTCTCCCCGCTCGCTGGAAATACATGGCTGTTCTGCGTGCCTCCCATCGTGCCATCGGACCCTCAGGGTTCAGAACATGAGGACAGGCACTAAGCATGGGTGCAGACCCTTGTTTGCACTCCTGCACTCAGCAGAAGTGGTTGATCTCCCCAAGCACAAAAGAGCTAAGGCACAGGGAATGTTTCCAAGGATGAAAAGCAGACGCTAAGGTAGAGATAAAAAGAAGTAAATGGCAGGAGATTTATAATGCCGGAGCTGGCATTGGGAAGAGCACTTACAGAGGTGAGAGAAAGAAACCCAGATTGTTTAGTACGTTTGAGAAATCAAACAGAAGTGAGCATATTTTTGTTGGAATGAAAAAACACATTTTGAAGAGTGAGGTGTTTCCCATGGCCATTCCCACTATCACCATTACACTGAAAGCTGGCCACTGCCGCTTCCTGCAGTTGTAATCAGCTGGCAAAAGAGACTTTTAATCTGCAAGCAGTGGGATGATCGAAAGCAGTGATAATGTTTTGAGAAGGAAATGGCATAATTTTTGGCAGCGTAAGTGGGAATAGCTGAAAAAAAATAGATTAAGACCTTCTGTGAACTGTTAAGGCAGTTTTCACATACTATGTACTGTATATACTGAATTTTCAGAGTCAGGCTGGATTCTTGCATACAGTTTTGGAACACTTTTAAATCTTCTTCTCCCAGAAAAGTCCCAGAAAAGACACTATTTAGTAGAGTTTGCTGGAATTTGCTTTAGGTCTTATCCTTATAAACATTTTCTTTTATTAGGATTTCTTTAATTCTTAGAACAAATTTATTGCCTTATATGTAAGCTGCAACACTTTGCATTCACTTGATCATAACCTTTCAATTTTTTTCGTATCCAAACACTGTTTTAAATCTCTTTTTTTCCTAAGCATATATTTTTGATTATTTCAAGCTATATATTTTAGCTGAAAAAAAGTAGAAATTATTATTCTGCCCAATAAGGGATTTTTGTTCTTTGGTGAATTTTAAACAAATCCAGTGTCTATACATGAGAGGATTGGAAGTCAGGAAATTACTCGAGTCTTGAATTATTTATGTTAGCCTGGCAGAGGTCATTAGAAGGCCAAAGGACTCCTACTTCCTTCCATGGGGTAACTTTGTCTCTTGTACAAACCTGAAAAAAATGTTTGTTTCCCACAGTGCTCTGTGAAGTGCGGTAAGGGCGTACGACATCGGACGGTGCGGTGCACCAATCCCCGCAAGAAGTGTGTGTTGTCCACCAGACCTAAGGAAGCAGAAGACTGTGAGGACTATTCCAAATGCTACGTCTGGAGAATGGGAGACTGGTCTAAGGTTGGTGCTCTTTCCACTAAGTGGGATACATTTTGCAAGCTGAGTTCTTCACAACAAGCACAGGTTTTGCCCCAGGTGTAGGACTTCAGCTGAAGGAACAGTAAAACTACATACAAAGGAGAACCTACAGTCACAGTATGACCAAAGCATAAATAAAGATAATAAAAATGAAGAACCTTTATTTGGAGGTTCCTCATGAAGAACGAAAATGAAGATATTTTGAAGAAGAATTTTGAAAATGAAGAATCTGAGACAAATCTTAAAAATCAGACAGATGTGATATAAATGTACTATTTTCACTAGTTAGGAAAATTCTCCAGGAATTAAAGAGTACTGTACAGTCTTGTATCCACGTCTGCAAAGTCCCTGTCAGCAGTATTCCCTTTTCAGGTGTATTTGAGACTAGTGATGACACTTAATGAAGCAACGTGACAGTCGTCTTGTTTGTAGTTCTTGCATATTTTCAGGTTTATTTTGCCTTACCCACTTCAGACCAGAAAATTTGCTGAGGCCATGTGTTAGTTTCATGCACAGTGGAGTGCACATGTCGCACAGCAAAGAGATAGTTATTTCTAGATTGCAGAGTGGAGGCTGTTTGTAATATGCATTTTGGTTGATCTCTTTCAAGTATTGCTTAATAAAGTAGTTTTGGAAAGATAAAATTTTCCTTACCGAACATCAAAAATACTTTTCTTTCAACATGCTGCTGTTCTCTCCACTTCCCCAGTCTGCAACTGTAATCAATTTTATTTGTTCTCTTTTACTGCAGGACACTCCAGCATTCTAGTTTACCCATTTTTTTAATTTGTGTTTTGGTTACATTACACCTTCCAGCCTTGTAAGGAGACACATTTAGCCTATTAAGGATCCATTTAGTATCTAGCATGAATCTCTTAACTGCCTTTTCTGAAATCCTGATGTAGCTCTCAGTCTGTTATTTCCTTGGCACGTGGCTTTTCATTTCACTGAGGTACATAAGCATCTGCCAAATGTTATCACAAAGTCTTTGTTAGATCCATGATTGTATGTGTTGTTGGACTGAGACCTTGAACATCTGAAACAGTTTAGAATATTCAAGACATGCTGAAATGCTAAAACTGAACCTTGAGGGTCAAGAATCAGTTTTGACCTGTCATAGACCACACTTTAGCATAGAGATTGTAAACATTTTTTTTCCTCTGCTCATAGATTTGCACACACCTCTTCTACTGTCAGTGCATAACATTTTTGCAGTAGCTTTTGAACATGCTTATATGGAGAAGTATTTAATATATTTTTAGTTGTCTTTCATGTGATGTAACAGCTGGAAACAAGGACTAAAGCCAGCAGTATATGACTAGCCAGTCTTCCAAGAATTAGCTGAAAGAACTCCGCAGGCAACTCGTGCTTCACAGAACTCTTCTTGAGAGCTCCCTTTTTATGACTGTAGGGCTATTTGTTACTATCAAATTACTTTTTACTCCATTTCTTTTTTTTTTTCTATTTATGTTAGTTATTTAACATTTTGGTTAAATGTGTAGCATCAAGTATGTTTTCTTTGTAGTGTTGGTCATTTAAAATGATGTATTGAAATGCCCTCATAGATGCTAAAAGATAACTCCCCTACATCTCCTTGATAGCTTCTGCTGAAGCACAGAGAAGTAGAACCATTAATATTTAAATCACAGGCAGAAGCAAATAAACATTAATGGCGGGATTACTTTTACAAGAAGATATATTTGAAAGTAAATCTCATACTTGCAGTTCCAGAGCACCAAACAGCAATAGAAACCTGCATCATTTAGCATTACTGCTATCAAGGAATAGCCTATGGAGAAATGACCACCTGCTTTCTCAGTCAGAAGCAATTGCTCAAATCAGGGCTGCTGAGGTTACGTGGGGATGCTCAGACAGTTACGCTGTTTTCCCAGTGCCCTCTAAATAGAAGGACTTTTTTCTAATCCAGTATTTTCCATAAACATTTATGTCATAAATATACAAGAACTTACTTCATTCTGTTTAAAATTTACTGACATCTCATATATTCTGCTTTCCCTCTACAGTCCAAGTGGTACCACTCTTACCTAAATTGTACTTCAGACTCCAGAACCAGAAGATTAGGAAATACTTCACATGGAGCTGATGAAACCTTTTAGGTGGTTAACATACAGCCTGCGTGTGACTTATGCAGCTGAAATTTTCCGAGATTTATACCAAAAAATAGATACTTTAATTTCTCTACAGAGACATGAGTTCAATTTAAAGTACACTTGGATTTCCTTTTTTTTTTTCCTGTTACCATTCTGTTCCATTGCTAGAGTACATAGCAACGTGAAGTCATGGCATACATATTAATACGTCCACAATGGGGGAAACAAATGGAAAGCTCAGATAAATGTTAATCTCTGCTTGCTGTTTGTTTCTAACTCAGAGGTTCAGTGCAGCGTTCTGTGTTCACTGTTTTTGCTCTTTAGGATCATTCTTGACATTGACAGAAGGCTGTTCCTTTGAGCAGAGCCAAGTTCCCTGAAGCTAATGCCAAGACTTGGCTTGAAAAAATTAGATGACGCTTTTCACACATCGAAACAAGGGGTTTAATGTGATCCTTATTGGCTTTGCTGATCTCCTTGAACTCTTAAGCCACCATCTTAAATGGAGCTTAAATTGGACTATTACTGAAAAGATAACATTATTAGTAATCATAATAGCGCTGTTACGGAATTTAACTTGTTTTAGACATACACTCACACAGAGATCAAATAATTTCTTTGCTCATTGTTTTAAACAATAATACCAAAAAGATCAAAACAAATTTGATAAAAATTGAAAATTCCAATAGGTCAATGGACACATCAGTCCCTTTAATACTCCGACCTTTAATTTGGTGAAATATTGCTGAAATAAATGAAGTAGGGCAATATGAATTTTGAAAAGGAGAATAACTTAGAGAGATGAATAAGTTTTGAAAATAATAATAAAAAGCATGTATTTGATTTGATATTATGTAGGAAACCTTTGGAGGGATTCAGCAGGGTCAAAACAATGGAGAAAAATTTAGCAGATGGCATTGTAGGAAATGAAGAGGTATAAAGCATATATGTTTAGGAGGCCAAAGAGAATAATATGAAATAAGTTCTAAAAAATATTTGGCTATGGAAACTGGAAAGAAAGGATGCATTCAGTAGCTGCTAAAGAAGCAGCAGCAACAGGAATTAAATAGTATGTATGTGTTAGACTACAGAGCGAGAGGAGTCAAATGTAACATCTGGAACATGGTCCTAATGACTGGACTGGTGATGACTTTGTCTATAGTCTGAAGAAGAGAGAATGGGAATGAAGGATTTATCTGATTTTTTTTTCCAGCAAATCTAAAAGGAAATTGGAAGCAACTGCTTAAGATTTTACACCAGTGAGTCCCAGCATGCAGAGATCATTCCAGATTGTTTACGTAAGGCAGACAGTACATACAGTGCCCTCTAGAAAGTGGAAAAAAAATCATCTCCAGCTGTTAGTGGGGAGGCTGAGTAAGCCTAACAGTTCACATAAAGATCTCCCAGTCGAGCGGGACAGCTGTCAGTAATGAGGATTGTTCTTATTTTGTCCCTGTCAAAGAGGATGCAAAAATGCAGAAAGGGGAAGGGGAGAGAATGCATTTTTGCAACCTGTTCAACAGTGTGAGCATTCAACCATTAAACTGTGTTTTTAAATATTTGTAGAACTTTTTTTTTGTTAGTTTTTTGTTAATTTTGTAGAACTTTTTTTTTGTTAATTTGTATAGTGTAGAACTCAGATATTATTAATGATATAATTGCACTGACAAGGTAATTAGCCCTGTTTTTATTCATTGGTTCCCAATCCAAAATTATTAGCTCTTTGAGATTCTGGGAATGGAACAGTTCTTGGCCACTTTTCAGAATATGACATTATTTTTTGATTGATTTATGATTTATGGACAAGGAGATTATGTGACTTTTGTGAAATGATAGAAGTCAAAGTAATACTGACTTCATGTTAATAACTTTTAATTAAGTTAATTATACAATCAACTTCCAGCAAATGAGCTATGTCTTTGTTTCAGAAATGAGGTATGAGCAAATCATATGACAGCTGTCAATATAATCATGTGAGAGCAGGGAGCTTTTTTGTTCATTTCCAGCTGATCCTGTAACATTAGCACGATTTGTTTCAAAAAACCTTTCTTCTAGATCTGTTCAAATGTACTGTATTCTGCCTGGAATAAATGTAATGTCATGTTAGTTTGTTAGGAAAACAGAACAAGCCCATTCTAAATAATAGGCAAAAGCGCTGATAGGCTGAGAAGGATTTTGAAAGTAGACATGACCCATATAGTACATTCATACAGGCATACATGTGTACATGTCCCCATGTAGGTGGGACTGATATTTTTATTGTCCTGAAACCTAGTAGGTCCTTTTCATTGGTGCTGTCACAGTTAGGATGCTCCTCAGGTAAGGAAAGTTTTCAGGAGGGGCAAATTGGACTCAGAAGGTAATTTGGGCAGATCTGTTACCTCTGGAAATGCAATATCTGTAAGCAAGATTACACTGGATAGATTTTAAGTTGTTTTGCCCTACTAGGCTGTATAGAAAAACAAAGCAAGAGTAAATAAGAACACAAGGTACTTGCAACCCCTGTTGCAATGCTGCTGTCTGACAAATACCATTAGTAGTGGTAGAACTATATAATCAAATATATAAATATATAATCAAATATATGATCTTCTACACATAAGCACTTTGTAATTCTTTAAAAATCTAAGTCTTCACGCCCCACTCCATGCATGCCATTAGAGTGTCTCAGGTAGAAGATGTGGCCTGTCTGTATACATTTCTCTTGAGCAGTCCCTTAAATAAGATGACGAGTGGCTAGCAAGTGGACACCCAAAGCAACCTTCCTTTGTAGTAAAAGGGATAATATAATGCAAAAGGAAGGGGGGAAGATATAAAAAAGAATCCGTAATCACTAGCGTAGGGAACCAGTGGCGGAGGCAAGTATGGTCC